TCTCAAATGACTTTGGGAGGTTTGTGATAAAGAAGGGATTGTACATGATGTAGTACCATCCTATACAACATAACAAAATGGTGTAGTCGAAATAAATAAAAAAATTGATTGATCATGAACATGGTGAGAAGCATGTTAAAGGGGAAGAACTTAACGAAAGAGCTATGGGGAGTAGCGGTATCCACAAATGCCTATTTGTTGAATATGTGCCCTACAAAGAAGTTGGAAAATGTAACACCTGACGAAGCATGGTCTGGGTTCAAGCAGAATCTGAACCATTTGAGAGTCTTTGGTTCTGTTGCATACCGACATATTTTGGGTCAACTTAGAAAGAAGTTGGATGACAAGGGAGAAGTGATGATACTTGTTGGATATCACTCTACTAGTGGTTACAAACTATTTGATGCTGTAAACAGGAGGATCGCGATCATACGGGACATCGTAATCGATGAATTAAAGCAGGTGCGACAAAGTGATACCGATTACCAGCAGACTATAACCGGTTACATGTAGGTTATAACCGGTTATCAGAATCATATAAATGTTAGGAGTTCATGATGATAGTCAGATATGGAAAGGAAATCAAACAAGTCATCTAGAACTGGTGGATTATAAGTTTGAGATTTATTGAGGGATGGCACATTGGAAAAGACTTGTAATGGAAAATGGATTAAGAAAATATAACATCTCAAGACAACAAAAATTCTTTGGAACTTAAATCAAATAATGTATGCCCATTGGCATCAACCTTAAAACCTAGATAAAGATCTAGAATCAAGTTTCTTTCTATTTTCTTGTAAGGTTGAAGCAAAAAATAAAGAGCCAAAAACTTTAATAAGTTTGATATCAGGTAAACGTTTGTGAAAAACTTGAAAAGGTGACTAGTTCTGAAAGAAATGGGTTGGTAGTCCATTTATGATGTGTATAACATGGATAACTGCATAAGACCACTTTTTTTTTTTTTTTTGCGAATGTGATTGAAATAGAAGTGTTCTAGTTAAGCCAAAGATATGTTTGTGCTTCCTTTCAACTATGATATTTTGTTGAGGAGTACCAACACAAGATGCTTGATGTAAAATGCCAGTTACACTATAAAATTCTCTAAGGAGAAATTCAATTTCATTATCTGATCTTATGCATTTTAATTTAGTCTTAAATTGAGTGTGGACCAACAAAGGCTCTAATAAGATTTGATGTTTCAGATTTACATTTCAAGCGAAAAATCCATGTAAATTTACTTTTGTCATCAACTACCGTGAGAAAATATTTGTGGCCATTCATTGAAGGAATTGACAATAGACTCCATAGATCATATGAACATAAAAAATGTCAACAAATTTATGAGTGCTATTAGGAAATGGTAATCTCTTTTATTTTTCATAAAAAACAAACATGGCAAGGAATATCATAATGCACAAACTAGACAAAAGGAAATTTTTTCTTTATTTCAATCAGTTTGTCACGTGAAGGATTACCAAGTCTCAAATGCCAAATGTTATAATCATTTTCATGCCTAGAATCAAACGGATTAACATGATTGATACAATTTTTCTGTCATAAGGAGAAGGAATTTATGGAAGGATCACTGGAAGATGGTGGTGTATTTAGGAATGTAACTATAAGATAAGTGAGAATCTACAATCCACCTCTCAATTTAGTTTAGTTGCACCAATCATCTTCTTGGATAGAAATTATGTATCAATCAATTTGAATTATAAAAAATTAGTTGGCATTTAAGGTTATGAGTTAGTTTTGGAACATATATGAGGTTAAAAGAGAACTTAAACATGTATAAAATATTGGTTAAAATAAAACCAGGGTCAAAGAAATTGGTCCCTGCAAAATTGGTAATAACCAAAGAACCATTTGGAAGTTTTATAGTTATATGTTTACTTCTCTTCACCCAAGATTTTTTTGTGTGGGAAAAACACACATGGTCAATTGCACCACTGTTTAGGATGAAAGATCCATGTCTAATATTGATGGTAAAAGTGGAGATAATACTTGTGTTTGGTCTGGATTGGGTGGTGATGTGGTTCACACTATGAGAAGTCAATTGTGATGATTGTTGAAGTAATTCCAGCAAAGCTTTGTGTTGATCTAGAATCTTGTTCATTTAGATGTTCTTTATTAATCTCAGAGTGAGAACTATCTTCTTGATTATTGTCATGAGTTAATTCTTAGTTACCCTACATGTATCTATGGTATGATTAGCCAAACCATAATGTGTGCAAATTTCAATTCCTGGACCACCTATAATATTCTTGTCGCGAAAAGAATAACTGCTTATACCTTGACTAGAAAGGAAAGCTAAGATCTTATATTCATCGAGAGGAGTGACAATATGTATTTCTTGTTAAAAAATACACTTTACAAATATTAGGAAGAGGATCCATCAACATAATCTAAGATCAAATAGTTGAATGTTGGTCATTTAAACCCTTCAAAAATCTGATAACTTAATCAAAATCTTTGTAACTTTGGATTTTGTCAAAGAATATATAAGATATGGCACAATCACAAGCAAGAATAAGGAAAAAATTGTCTAATTCTTTCCATGATATTTTTAATTTTGTGTAGCAAGAAGAGATGAAGCGATCACCTTGTTTTAAAGTACAAATCTCTTCTTGAATATCTGAGATTCTGAATATACCACCATGATAAAATTTATATTTCAACTCCTTCCAAATGTTGGATGCACTCTCCATCCATAAGATGTTCTGAGAAATTTCAGACTTAACTTAATTGTTTAGTCATGACATGATGCACATAACGCAAGCTATTGAATCACGATCTTCATCCTGGGGTCATGGCGATGCTTCATTGATGAGATAAAGCTTGTTCTTGGACCTTAAAGTCATTGTCATGGATCGGGATCAAGAATGACAATTTCCAACATTCAATAAATGTGTAACTAAAACAAGAACTACATTTTTATTGGCATGCATAAAATAAGGATTTAAGGTATCATTTTGATAACTTTTATTAGGATTTCAAAAAACACCATTGTTATGATGTGATGGAACATGACGATTATTGGTGCTAGAGTAACTTTCAACAAACATTGTTGAAAAGAAGAAAATAAATCGAATGAGGATGAATGAGAAAGAAGAAAACAAGTTGAGATTTGTGAAGCAAAATGAGAGAATGCAGCGACAATGGTGAATCTAAAGTCACATATCAATGATACCATGTGAAAGCTAAACAACAAGAACACCATAGAAGAAGAATAAAAAGAACTTGCAATGTAATAGAAAATTGTATTTCACAAACTGGACAATACCTTTACATTTACTATATATAGTACAAGGAGTGAGTTATACATATTAACTAATGTTTAACTATCACATAACCAACTTGCAAAAATTAGTTATTATCAAATAACTAAAAGTCATATTATAATTGGTTAACTTGTTATACAAGTAACTTCTCCAACCTTTTAATTTTCATACTTAACAATATTAAACAAACAATTACTAACATTTCATATTATCAATGAGATGAGTTTGTTGAAAGATTCGAAATAAATACTAATATCATATTTATCTATTTTATCTCCATAATTTAAAATTAGAGAAAGTTTAAACTTGAAAAGTGAAAGATAATAAAATAAACAGTCAAAAAATGAATAAATTTGAGGTAAAATATTATTTAACCTGAAATTTGAATTTCTCTTTTAACATTTCTTCTTTAAATGGAGTTGATTATCCATTTGAGTTGAATCTTTTGGTTTTTACGTGTACATAACTCTTAAATCGTATTTAAGAACAACGAGAAGTACTTGCATAGAAACTAGAGCTGGTAAAACGGACTATTCGGCCCGTAACGGGTTGGCCCATGACGGGTTCAGGCTTTGTGCAGGCCGGGCTAAAATGCTCGGGTTATAAAAGGGTCATAATTTGATTGACCAAACCCGATTCTTCACGAGCTAGGGGTTTTCGGGTCGGTCTAGTTTATACTTATAATTTTTTGTTTTGTTTTTTTTTAATAAAAAAATGAGTGTTTTATTTAAATAATAATATAATACTATTAGTATATTGTACACACTATACTCTAATTTTATCATAAGCGTCAAATTATGACAATATGATATTTCTCATAGAAAATGCACCACTATGATATTTCATTTCACTTAGAAAATGTACAAACCAAAATGTAACTTATAACATTTCCCTTGTAAATTGTAATATAGGTTGTATTTTTCATTTGAATAAGGATTCAAAACAAAGTAAAATTCTCAATGATAACAATATGTTTTACAAATTAAATTAACAATAAGATCTAAAATTCATTAAAAAAAAAACTAAGCGGGCTACCCGCTACCCAGTCGAGCTAGTCTGGTTAAATATCGGACTTTTAACAGTTCGGACTTAAAAGCCTGAAAAATGAATGGGCCTTGTGTTTTTTGTTCTAAGTCTGAATTTTTTGCCGATTTTTCAGGTCGGCCCGGTTGGTCCGATCCATTTTGTCCGCTCTAATAGAAACACATCTATATCTATATCTTTGAAAACAACCAATGAAAAGATAGAAAAAATTAAATTTAGTTTTAATTTAATTTAATTTTTAATTAAAATCATAGAATGGTGGCTATTATGCAGGGGAGAGAAAATATTATTTATTATTTGTAAAGACAAATATTATATTCGATATATACAAGTATTTTTCTAAGAACAACAAGTTTTTATTTAGAATATAAAATTAAATGATACATAATCATAATTATTAATTTATGTGAAATATTTGACTTTTATTTTAACTATTTAAATTTAAAAATAAACAGTAAAATTGATGTCGGGTTGAATAGGCTGTAAACTCATTCCTTAAACCATAAGCTATTGAATAGGTCACTCTCGTAACTGCGTAACCCTTTCAGATACACGCTGTGTTTAGGGTTTTAAAGAGAGATCCAATTTGTTGAGATTTGGACCATGTCATATGATTTTGGGCAATATTGAAAGAAACACACCATTCTTGTGTTTATTCCTTGATATCATAACAGGATGAAAGTAGGATCTGGTAAAGGGAGAAAAGCATGTCTCGCTGTTACTATTGTTTTCATTGCAATTTTATTGCTAATTCTCATTCTGGCTCTCACTGTATTCAAAGCCAAGCATCCTGTTAACACCGTTGACTCAGTTAAGCTACAAAACTTCGACATCAACTTGGATATAGCAAAACTAAAGGTTGATTTGAACGTAACCCTGGATGTCAACGTATCAGTCAAGAACCCTAATAAGGTTGGTTTCAAATACTCCAACACCACCGCGCTTCTCAATTACAGAGGACACCTTATAGGCGAAGTCCCTATCCCTGCTGGACACATATCTGCCGGAGGGACCAAGGGATTCAACCTCACCCTCACCGTTATGGCCGACCGTTTGCTCTCCGATTCCCAGCTTTACTCTGATATCATATCTGGTACATTGCCCCTTAACACTTTCGTCACAATGAAAGGGAAAGTCAGTATCTTAGGCTTTATCAAAGTCCATGTCGTTTCCTCCGCATCCTGTGATCTTGCTGTTAATACTTCTAATAGAACACTTGGCAGCCAACAGTGTCATTACAAAACTAAACTTTAATTATTCGTTTCCACCTTATATTATGATTGCTATTCTTTATGTAATCTGTTCATATTTTACCTTGTTCCGTTGGAAATCGTCATTAGTCTTCAACTATCCCTTCTCCTCTGTAAGCTGCTTATGCAAATTTATTTCTTATTATCTTTCAGCTATCCATGTTTCATTGTTCGTCAAATTACATGATTTATTCCATTCCATTCCATTACTCTTCTCTTTCTATTAAGCCATTGGTACTCTGAAACATGCTATTCATTATGTGTTTCTAGAATTAACTTATACATCTACCTTATGTCCTGGAATAATGTAACAACAGACTGCAGAAGAAACGTCTGAATGCTTCATACATAATGGTGCAGAAAGAACCATCTCAATCTACTTTTTGTTGTCCCTTTTACGCACATTACTCTTGTGTAGAGTTGTCAATTTGGGTTGGCTCAGCTCATTTGCCAGTCCATGACAGGCCAACACATTGTTGAGTTGGCTTAAATTTAGTTCAAACCAATAACTTACTAGCATGACCAATGTCATCCTTGGAAAAGAGATAATAATGATTTGAACTAAATATCTCTTTGGTGACAAAGAAAACTTGCACGCCAACCCATTGTTGAGTCGGGTAAGTAATTGGTGCCTGTGTAGAAAAATGTCTTTGGTGACAGAGAAGAGTTGTATGCCAATGTCATCATTGGAATAGAGAGTGGCGGTGCTGTCATTATGTGTGTGCCTGCTGAGTAAAGGGTATGAATCCCCTTAGTCCAAAACTCTGCATTATGTGTTACAAATTCAAATCAAAGAACATTAGTTTGAATTCAAGGGTCTTGTGTCATTTAAGTATGTCTCTGAACTAGTATTTAACACCATGGGAGATGATTGTTGTATATAAGTAGGGTTTTGTTGAGGAAGAAAGAAGGAGAAAGGGGGAATATGGTACCTATAGTATTGTTTTCTCAAAATGTATAGATGCTCCTTTTTATGCTATGCACCGTGTACATAAGTTATGTGATTATTAAAGAGGTGGTGGTTGGGTGAAATGGAAAAGTTTTTCAATGACCTTATAAAGTTTTTCATTTTGCCATTTTAACCGACATTCTTTGTCTTCCAATGAAGCTACATTCAAGTTCTACAATGAGCAACATGTAATTAAGTTAGTCCACTTGTTTATAACTTAGTTAAACGGTACAGTCGTCAGGGGGTTTTCACGACTTTTAGAACAGTCACATTCATACAACCAACGGTGTTTGGATTATTTGAAGGGACTACTCTCTTTGGTGAACTGTGTTTGAATCCTAGTTGAAGCTCTACTCTCTTTGGTGGATTGTGTTTACATCCTAGTTGAAGGGCTAGTTTCTTTGGTGAACTGTGTTTGAATCCCAGTTGAAGGACTAGTTTCTTTGGTGAACTAAGTGGGATTCATAGATGATGTAAAAAATGAATAAACTCAATTGAAGATGAATTGAGTTCAAAATTTTCTATTGATTTTGTTGGTTCAATGCGTTTGCAGTGATTTTTACAGCATAACAGTAAACTAACATCCTAGTTTTCCCCTCAAAATTAAGTGTTAATCTGTGCAATAGGATTCTATGTTGAATTGGGTTTCACCTATGTAATCTGTTTTTCCTATTAATAGCATTTCTTATGACTTTGATTAGTGGTCCAATAATTTTGCCTTAAAAACTAAAATGCATGATTAACACAAACTTAAGACAGATACAAGAAGACCACCTCAGCACCTTTGACCAATCGAAATGAAATCTTACCTCATAATGTTTCTCAAACATTCTTAGTAAACATGTGTGTAGTCTTTCATTTTAGTCTAAACTGAGTATCTTTTGGATGCAATTGTTGAAATTAATTTCTCAAATCAAATTGAATTGTGATGAGAAAAATAAACACTCGATCAAGAATTTTAACATAACATTGTTACATTCTTAGGACTGGTCAACCCCTGCACCTCCCACCGGTTCATTTCCCACCCGGAGTTGCGTGTACAGACATCATGTTACATTCTTAGGACTGGTCAACCCCTGCACCTCCCACCGGTTCATTTCCCACCCGGAGTTGCGTGTACAGACATCACCTGATAAAAGTAGAGATTTTTATGGCATGAAATGAACTGTCTTATGTGATTTTTTTTGGGTCTTGACGTTTCGTGTATGGGGGAGTTGGTGTATGACTTTCATACACCAGTGTGAATATGTAGCTTTTCAAAAAGGCTAAAAGGTGCTTCTTCTCAAAGGAAATCAGCTTTTCAAAAAGGCTAAAAGGTGCTTCTTCTCAAAGGAAATCAACTTTATTGTAGCATAGTCATATTACATGCGTAGTTTGCACGGTGCCTCTATGTAGCTGTCTCTCTCTAGGGACTTTATTTCGGTTTGAAATTTTAAAATGGCAAATTGGCACGGTGCCCTTTCAATGCAAGATTCCTCTCTATCTATTTACACATTTGTAAGTTATATATTGTATTGTCCCGTTGATCTATAGTTCGATATAGCTCAATGCAAGATTCCTCTATATGTTTTTGCAGATTTTTAAGATATATAGGGTAAAGTCCTGTTGTTTTGGTTTAGTTGATAGTTGTAGAAACATTTACTTACAAAATGCAGGTTTGAACATATAAAAATGTTATTTTGGTTTAGTTGATAGTTGTAGAAACATTTACTTACAAAATGCAGGTTTGAACATATAAAAAATTTTTTATTCATTTTTAAGGGTTGAAATTTTAATCATTTTAAGGGTTGAAATTGTAATCATATCCAACCCAGTTCAAATATTGTTTGAGTCATATAACATTGTCAACAATTTAGTCGTGTGGTTCAATGTGTATATGTGATCCTTGTGTGCTAGATTGAGTTATAATCATATGACATTGTCATGATTTAGTTGGGTGCAGACTTGGGCCCGACCCATAAAGTCTAAAAGTGAAAGAAAATCATATATGCCCTGTTAAAGCCCACACTAGTAAAAAAAACAAGACACTGCAGGCATGTGTAAAACTTTGACTCGGACCGCCAAAAATTGCAAGCAAAACATGTGTATGCTTGGCAAATCGGTGTTGTTTTGTCACCTCTACTTCTACCCTTACCAAGTTTAAGACATTAGGTTGGTGTTGTTGTTGATAGCAACAGGTCCAGTTGTCATCCTGCAAAAAGTGTACTTTGGCTTATCTTCAATGATATACTAGTATCTCTGAACACTTGAAAGTGACACTTCCCATTTTAGTGCAACGGGGCTCACATCTCTCGACATACATATGCAAAGCTTCATTTTTTACACGCAAAAGCTTAATGCATCGGGGCTCACACCTCTTGACATACATATGCAAAGCTTCATTTTTTACGAGAATCAAGCTGGCATAATTCCATCCAACTACTACTAGGTACCTCCAAAACAATGAATTTCAAAAGTTTAACTAGTTTAGCATTTCTACTAATAATCACACAAATAACTGAAATAACAAGAGTAAAACTCATCATTAAATTCAACCGGATCTGAATGATTTATTTAGCACAAACAAATTAGTGTAGTTATACAATATTGATGCTCATGCAGCTGCTACATCCATGTAAATGAGCTTGGTCAGATGCAGTTATTTCCTCTAAAATTATAGTATCATTAACTAGCTAAGATACAAATTAATAAGACAAGGTATCTGAAAATCAGCAGCACATAATTAAATGCAAATTAAACAAGTACAGATGTATGTTTGAGTGAGAGTCAGAATTCAAGCTTCTTGCATAACTCCATTAGAATGACCTTGGGTTGATGTTTGAGCTTGCGAGGTGCAGGAGGACAGGTGTGAGCAATTCCTGTGAAACGGAGCTGGGGAGGAGGTGATTTACATTCATCATCTTGTTGTACATTTGACATTTGAGTTAGGAGCCTCTCCTCCATTTGCTTTGAAAGAATGAATTGAAAGAGACTGTCATGTAGTGATTCAAAGATATCTAGATCCGAACGAGAATCAGCACGGAAAGGAAGCCGGCGTACAACAGAGCTCCTGGAATCGTTCAGATTCTTGCGAGTATCCGCAAAGGAGTCCAAAACAACATCCTTGGGGCCCGAATGAATGGTTGTCTCGTTAAGCTGTTTTCTCACCACCGTCAGTGTGAGAGGGGATTGCAGTTCAAAATCACCATTTTCTTTCACAACCTCGGGAGTTACAGGAACTTGACAATCTTTTTTCTCAGCATTCGGAGAGCCGGAATCCATATGTGGCGAGTTTAGTTCTACACAGTCACGCACCATTTCTTAGGGTTTAGTTTTCCACATACAAAGAACAAAAGAAAAGAAACCCTAAATTTACCCCCAAAGCACAAATAAAAACGATAAAAGTAATTAAAAAAAAAAGAGATAAAGAGATCGGATCCAAAAGTTGAAGCTAGTATTAGGTAGAAAAGGTTTGGATATTGAAATTGGTGAGGCAAAAAGAAGAGGAGAGTGAGTACCTGGTCGGGTTGAGTTGAGTTGAAGAGAAATGATCGGAGACGGAGAAAATGAATGAACACTAAAGTTTTATTGTAACAGTCGCCGCCGCGAAGTACAAAGCTTTGCTTTCATGCGTTCTGTCCTCCAACTGCTGTCTATGAGTGCCAAATTGCGCCAACTATTCTTCTGCCTATTTATATATATTCTTTCTTTTCTTTTTCTTTCTTTTATTTGTTTATTTATTTTCTTTCTCCGTCAATCTCACTTCCAATTTGTAATAATATAGCGTGGCTCATGAATAGTTTTTTTTATGGAAATTTGTAATAATATAGTATGATTTTTCACAAATGCTTCTAGATTTTAGATATATATTTTTGGACGTGACTTATGACTTAATAATATTTTGAAGATATATTTTCGGAACAATTTAAATTTTAAAAGGTCGCAATATATCTATCATAACCAATTTTCATTTGAATTTGTTCAGAGATTCATTTACATAAATTTTTTAGAGATACATCTTTGAAGTGTTTCAGAACAGTTTTTTTTAGAATGCATTGTGTATTCTTTGCAAATGAATTATAAAAGAACGAACACACCAAAATAACATAACAATATAATAATAGGATGTCATATGTTACGTAAATCCAAAACATAATAACAATGTCAGGAAAAACGTATAAACTACAGTACTGAAACAAAATAAGTACAAACAACTATTGGGTGTGTCTAACAACCTCTCCTCTGCCTCCTCTATTTAGTTTGCCTCCTCAGCCATCGATCCCCCCATTCTCCCGCGATGTCTGCGGTACAAAAGTGCGCTTTGTGCCTCCGCAATAATGTCATCCAATTCTCGCATGGCATCATACCCCTCAGTAAAAATACCCTAGTCAATGCATGTCTGCGCCATCTCCACTATGTGACGACAACGAGGCAAGACATCCTTAGTATGATCCAGCTGAGCATGCTGCTCCTCAAGAATCTCTTGATGATCTGATCTCGGCGGATCTTCTGGAGTAGCCAGCACCATGTACGGATGTGAGACAATGAAGAACCACCTGATATATATGTCAACGTAGCTCTAATGATTTGTTGCTATGATAACCCGAGCCTCATTCGATACCAGATGACTATGATAATCAGCAAGCATCTCCTCTATCTGTATACGAGTCAAGGCCGAAGGTGTAGAGACAGCAGGGTGTCTAGGGATGGTCTGCGTGTACCCGAACTGTCACATGACACCCTCAGACAGATGAGGAGTAGTGACCGTCGACGAGCAGGCCATCCGTCTGGAGTATAGCGATATGTCGTCAAATGGCCGCGTCTAACCATGATCCATGTAGTAGTTGAAGTGGATGTCCTCAGTAACCAAGCAGTCAAGTTAGACTCTGAAAGGCTCGACCGCCTGACCCTCTCAGCAGGATAAAAGCACATACACGAGGCATCTCCTCAATATACTCATCCCAACACGATCAGTCAGCGATGCGCGAGAAGTGCTGGAGGATCCAAGCCTGAAATGAAAATAAAAAGGCATTCAGGGATCAAGAATTATAGCAAATGTGAAATGAAAAAGATAAAAAACACTCGAGGATAAAAAATTATTACCACCAGTAGGGTCGTGCTGCCTGTGGTATGCCTCATCGTCCACTAACATCCATCTCTCAGCTTCGAATACAGATATGCAAAGCAAGCCACCCCCCAATTGTACTCATGGATTCGTGTGAGATCCAAGAAGTACCAGAGGTATACAACGTCAGTGTAGGTGACACTCGTGTCCACAAAAAGCATAATGCCAACTAAAAATAGAAAATAACACCTCAAAGCATGACTCCTGTGTATGGCCACCTCTTGGGAATCACCATCAATCTGCCCTGCAACAACGAGCGCTTGATCAAATCTCTCCTTCAAGAAAGAAAATCTAACATGAGCACCCTTGGTCTTATCCACCTCATTTAGTGCCTTCACTAGATCAGCCCCTAGATGCTCCACCATTATATCAACCGCTTCATCTTTGGTCATCCTACCTGATGAAGGATTCTCCCTCTGATTGATAAATTCAACAAACACAATAAATCGTCCCGTGTAATCGACATCTCACCGTGCAAGAGATGAAAGAAAGAGATCTCAGAGCATCATCGCTCCACGAATGCATTAAGCATCCCGTGGTTGACCAAAGTGTAATCGGTCAAACATAGGTCACTTTACCCAGAAGCGACCAAAACCGACTGAAACCACTCTGCATCAGGCTGACACAATGCTAAAATCTTCCGCCCATAGTTCATAAACTTTTAGGGATCACGCACATGCGAAATTCCAGAAATAACAAATGTCTATAAGAATCAATGTTAGAAATAATCAATGTCAATAATTTAAGGTTATGTAAAAAAATATTGTAACAATGTGACTAATGTTACCTCTCCGTCCCAAATATGTCTAGTAGTGTAGTATGGGTACAAAAGAAGTAGGGACATATTAGATGGACCCCCTTTGAAAGCCTCTGGCTCAGCATCAACAACATCACCCCCTACAGGTGGCACCGGTGCATCCCGATCAATAGGTGTGATTGGGTCAACAGAAGGTAGCACCAAATCACCCGGAGGTGGCACAGGTGCATCCCGCCACATACGGGTGGATAGGGGAAGTGACGCATCAGCTGATGTATCCCGTGGTCTGTCGGAAGAAGATGAAGAAGGTGGAGTAGGCTAAGACGTAAATGGAGTGGGCTGAGATATAGCTGGAGTGGCCTATGTAGATGGAGTGACATGAGGTGAAAGATAAACCACATGAGTGGACTGAGCCTCAAGAGTAGACTGTACACCAACAATCGACGCCTCTTCCTGACTAGAGGTACCTGCTGCATCCAGACTCGTTTGGCTCCGATCTTGTCTAACAGATGCGTGCTAGGCAACCCGTTCATGCCTCAATCGGCCGACTCTGTCAGCCATTATGCCTGCAAGGTATAATATGATTAAACGTACAATGACTTTACATAATAAGACAAAAAAATAAATTCACATAAAGAAAAAAAAACATACTGAGAAATTTCGGAGATACATCTCTAGAAACATTCAACGTCTCATGTACTCTAAGTGATTATGGAATATTTCGCAGATGTATCTCCGAAATCACCTAGAGTACATGAAATGTTGAATATTTTCGGAGATGTATCTTCAGAATATTCTGCAACTCAGAGGTCGCGCCAATGGCGACATCTGCCCCTTAGAATGATAAATTAGAAGCCCTGATCATCCATTTGAGCCAATAAACAATACATGCAGTTACTCTAAACTATGTTTCATCTAATTTCTAAATATTTCGACGCCTAACACTGAATATTAACTCGTTTATAACAAAACTTAAAAATTCATCGGAAACTCGAAAAACCTACCCGAATTATATGATTCTGAAGATGTTGATTGATGCACTGAATGCAGCTTGATGATTACCTGAGCCTCAGATGAAAGAAATAAAATTTGTTGAGGTTTGAAAAATTTGGGAATGAGAGAGATGCAGAGGTTTGTGAATAGAAATGAAAAAGTGTGGTAGGAGAAGAGTCTAACGCGACAATATGCTCCAAATTATTTCGGAGATAAATCTCTGGTATATTTTAATGTTCAATTGAATTTTGGTGCGTCCAGAGATATATCTCTGAAATATCTTAACCTTTAGTTAAAATATGGTGGGTCTGGAGATATATATCTGAAAACTAGGGGCGTTATAGAGAATTCGAATGGTGTATAAGAAACACGTAAGGTACTTTAAGAAATCCTCATTTTTATTTTCTTAATCTCAAACTCGTCTAAACAGATTTGGGTATTTTTGTGTCGCCATCTGATCAGTGCATTTTGATGCACGTTCTTCCATGTTTGTACTCAAGCATTTCTTTGATTTTATTTATTTATTTTTATGTTTTAACGTGTTTTTATATTTTATTTTATTTTTGCATTTAATTGTTTTTCGTATTTATTTTTCAGCTTTAGCAGCTTTCGCGAGAAAAATCATAACTGGAGTTCCGGGAGTCCGTTTGAGGCGTTCTAAAAATCGCCGGAAAGCTAAGAGAGAGAGCTACGACTTTCGTGTTGGAGTCGAAGTCAGATTCGGAGCCCAAAATTCCAAAATTTCGTTTGAAGTTACAGCATTAGGAATTTGTTTTAGTTTTGGGTCATGTTTTGGGTCTGGGTTATATTTTTGACCCAGTTGGGTTATGACCCGAATTCTGGTTTTTATCCTCTTTAGTTTAGGTCTGGCCGTACAGCCAAAAAAAGGCTATTCGCAATTTTTACAATTCACGAAAAAAAAAACTATTGGGAAAGCTTGTAAACGCATGGAGAACTAATCCTCCTTGGACGGATTCGCTGTACTTAGGTTCAAACTATGAGATTGTTATGATAATTACAGTTTAATTTCTATTCTTTTCAATTATATCATGTGATTGTTGTTTGCTTAATTCAATTATCATATTGTGTAATTGATTCAATTTGATTGATCTGTGTTCCCAATTTTAACCGTAGATTAACTCTGCTTAACTGTTAATTTGCTCTATCATTTACCGTATGCTTAATCCGGCCATAGGAACATGTTCTCATAAAATCAACCACGCTTGTTGACTGATTTTTTATCAAATAGGATAGAATTCCCGCTTGGGAAATTGTATTTTCATCGGTCGATGATTAGTAAGAACCGAGGCAGTGGATCTGTTACTTTAATCACTGATTTCACAATAACTTATTTTAATAATCAATTATTTTAATTACTTTGTCTTCTTAATCGGGAACCTACATCAA